AACACTATAGTTATTCTTATTTTATTCTTATCTTATCTTAAGTGTCTCGAATAGGAATCAAATAAACACAAAAATGTATTTTTATCTTGTTTTATATTTCTTCTTTCAAATTGCACTTAACATGTCCACTTCAATATGCAAAATTATATACAAAATCTAGTCATAAGGAATTATTACATGATTACGCCACCAGTCACTACTACAGCACAGACATTCAAAAATGGAATATTATTTGCAGAAAATTAATTCCTTATCAAAAAACCTTTTTAGACCAATTAGGTGAAATAGGATGATTTTCTACGGCACACCTGACCATCACTCACGGCACACTAGTGTACCGAGGCACAGTGGTTGAAAAACACTGCCCTAGAGGAATCCCAGTCTCACCCATCTCGTGTGGGATCTCGTGGCACAAGATGGCCACCGTGGTCGCCATGCCGGTCTCGGCCGAGGAGGAGAAGGCCGCGCCGACCACCAGGCCGTCGGCAAAGTTGTGGAGGCTGTCTCCCACGATTACCATCACGGCCAGAAGGGGAACCCCCCGTCCTGGAAAAAGAAAAACAAAGAGGCTCTGTTGTCCGAGCCACAAAACTAATTGGAGAGCCCGATTGGTTGAGGGAGAGGAGGCTCACTCTGGCGTGGAGGGCTGCTCGCGCTGGCGTGCTCCGGAGACATTTCCGTGCACTCCAAGTCCTCCACCGGTCCCTTCAGGAAAGAGAAAACCATTTCAACTTTCTAAACCTGTCAGGGAGGGTGGATCTTGGTGGGAGGACTCAGGCGCGGAGATGCAGAAAAACAGGGTTTATTGTGACAAAAAGCACTCTCAAAGGGTGAATGTCCAGACAAAGAAAGAAAAACTAAGAACAAAGTATCAAAGCAATCAGTTAACAAGACTGTGGCAAAGTATCAAATCATGATTAACAAAACAGTGACAAAACATGGCTATGACGAAAACTGTGGCTATGGTACAAAACAAGACTATGGCAGTAAAGAAAACAAGGCTGTGACAAAATCAAACCTGACATGGGGTGACGAAAACAGACAGACGAAAACGCACTGGCACAGGACATGGGAAACGAGGACTATTTAAACACATGAGGGAGGGGAACCCCAGGTGTACACAACAGGTAATCAACACATGACGAGACATCATACATTCCCCCAGACGTGACAAAACCTGTGATTCGAATCTGAGATTCCATGTTTAGACAAAAGGAACTGGACGATGCAGAATATTTCTGGAACCCTTTTGTGTCCACAACTGAACGACACCATAAAGTTCTCTGTGGATAATTCAATACTTCTCATTCTCCAACGGCCTACACGCTCTGTTTCTTTACCTCCTCCCACACCTCTCCTCGTTCCCGGTTGTATAAGAGCTGTGCGGGAAGGGTTTCAGTAAATCCATTTCTTGTAAACACGGATCACACCGAGGTGAATGAAAAAGCTTGACCAGATTTATACACAACACACCCTCAGTATCACAAAATGACTATATAAACGATTTTGACTTGAATCAGTCACCATGGAAGCATTCAATTGCTAATGATTAGCTACATGATGAAAAATCAAAGTTAAAAGCAAGTGGTAATACGTGTGAAATGTCTGGTCCCTTAAAGATTTGGTTACATCCAAAGCCTTTTGGAAGTGGAAGTCCCTTCAATCTGCTACATTTCCATCCTGTTGGTAGACCATGGAGATTGTCGTGACCCATTTAGTCTTACTAGTGTTAGAGTAAATACAATTCGCATTCAGTTTAGATTTTTTTATTTTATGTGTTCCAAATGGTTTTTTTTAAAGCATTTGTGCACATTGAAAAGCTGGTGGCAGTAACCTGGCTATTTTCAAAATGTTATTTTGTTATTATTTTGTTTTCTTTTAACCTGAAATGTGGCAGAATACGGATTTCCACACCTGCCTTTTCACCACCCCGATCATTTCTTCTACCACTAACCAAACAAAAAGGGGCAAATGCTGGACAGGGGATTGTCCATTCAGAGCTGGGACGGGCCTCACCAGCTGGATGGTGGAGATGGACTTCCCCCGCTGGGACTGGCTGTTGCAGTTCATCTCTGAGGGGAGCTCCCCAGAGTGACCCTGCAGACAGAGGACAGTACTAAGAATCCACATCCATGACCAAATGATTTGTGTTTACGGAGCTCTTACATGACTGTGTGATGGGACGACGAACGAGAATATCTTTTCAATGAGGAAAAATCCATAAATCCCAGCAATCAGGCCCAAGATCTTCCACAGGTATCCCTTTTCTTCTGGAAAGTGTTCGTCACTGTGACTGTGCGTGCTGTCATGGAGGCCAAGGATCTGGAAAAGCCCCCAGGGGAAATAGTTTAAATCAGAATGGAGATAGGCGAGCTGGGTTAGGGTTAGGGTTAGGGTAGAACCTGTGGGATGAGGTGCAGCAGAGCATCTCCTGAGAGGGTTCCCACGGCCAAGCCCACAAACAGCTGCAGGACCAGCGTGAATGTCTCCTGGCAGGAGTTGAAGAAGATGAGGCAGATGCCGAACATGGAGCCGATCGTGATGAGCAGGACAGCCACCGTGCTGTAGCCATACTCTGCCAGAGGGACGGAAATAGGCTTTAAAGTACGGTGTTTTATGAGCCATTGTCAATTATATGATC